TTGTTCCAGACGGAGACTCTTCAGCAATAAACATCCATAGCCCTGCCAGGAGTCAAACCGAGGTACTCACGAGTCACCAGGACGCTTCTGCAACCTCAAATGAATTCATGTCCCTTCTGAGATTCGAACCCACATCACTCATTGCCGCCTGGAGTCAGAGTCCTTATCACTACTGTGGTGAGAGCTGTTTGCTATCCAAAATTGGTATACAGCAATTTACGTCAATGTTTACGTCCCAAATTTTGGTGATGAGAAAAAACACAGGAACAAAGACTAACTCAACAACCAATCACAACAGACTTAGCGTGGGCGGATACGATTAGCAGATATATCAACGGAATATCTAAGATGAGGGAACAAAGAGATGACAGAATAACCTTCAGCAGGAAAACAACCAATCAGAAGACTTTGCTTCTCTGCTAACAATAACGAATAATAATGTACATAAAAATCTATAAATATCTGTTGATTTTCTCAGGGAACGATCTGTTGCCTGACCCTTGTCTTCTGTCGTTATATCACCACTGAGCTCTTCAGACTCGCGATTGACATCCTGTAGGTCTGTAGTGGATATTTTTGATTGGACACTAGCTAATAACTAGTGTAGCGTGTTTAGTCCTTTCTTTGGTGCAGGCTTAATTCTATTTGTAATGCTTGCAATGTGGCCACCATTCCAGGTAGGTCACCAATACGGTACACTTTGAATTGTTGATGTTAGATGGTTGGAGGCAGTAGGCAGGAAGCTTTGAACCTAGGTTTATTGCTTGTTGGCACTCACCAGTCAGCAAGGCGTATCCGCAAACCTTGAAAGGATTCATGTCCCTTCTGAGATTTGAACCCACATCATGTCTTGGACTATAGAAACCCCAGATGAATTGAAGATATTACATTTGCAGAATCCACTTGACCTTTCTTTTCATTCCTTTACATAGGAAGGAAGCATAGGACTTCAAGCTTTGAGGTTTGAAGTTTCAATAGCATTGGTGTTGTTTTGTTTTCACTGTATGAGGTTGCTAGCTACACGTTTGACCTTTTCAGGTTTACTATCAGTTGGTAAAGTCAGCTGGAGGTTGAACCCTGGATAGTATACACGTTCGGCAAGCATTTTGCTCTTGAGTTACCAATGCACTCCACTTGATAATATTCATTCTAAATCACAACTATGAATACCTACTAGTTTACATATTCCTAAAACACACACAAGCACTCACAAATTGTTTTTGATGAAATTATCAACTATTTCTCTCAGAGTGTCATCTGAAGAAATGTTAAAGCATCTTTTAACTTCATAATGCTGTGGTACATCAGTCGTTCGATGCGCATCCTGTCCAAGAGGATTCAAGAATACTATCCAGCATGGTTGCAAAAAGGTGCAATAAGGAGTGTGATAACTGAACACTTGGTTAACACTGATCATTTCATTTCTACAAACGCCTCTGCAGAGTCAAGAATAACCTAGCAAAGGCAATACGGTTTCATCTTCTTTGTATCGCTGAAGCTCTGGCCATTCACATAGAAAAACTGGAGCTGTGCATACAAAAGAGGATTACTCAACCACTTCTATTGTCATGGTAACAACATTTTTGATTTGACTTATGATTTTTTTATATTTTGATGACTTTATTTTGTTTCTTTGCCTGTTGTTTAATTGTTTATAATTCTTGTATTCATTTAGAACTCTTACGGAATTTCGTATTATCTACTTTGTTCCTATGTGTATCCTGAGTAAAACTGAATCATAACACTGTTCATATTATTACATAACTCCTTTTTAACAACTGTTTGTGACAACTACCACCTTTGTTACTACCCTAATTTCATTAACACTTAATTTTCTTAACTGATCTTGTATTACGTAACTCCAATTACCAATCTTCACCTGTTTGGATAAAATAACCATAAGCAATTATATTTTTAATATTGAAAAAATCCCCATTTAAACATTTAGAAAACAGAAAGATTGAGCGAAGAAATATTTACCTTTCAATTAGATCTTCATCTCTGGCTCTAATCTATATATATATAGATTAGAGCCAGAGATGAAGATCTAATTGAAAGGTAAATATTTCTTCGCTCAATCTTTGTTTTCTAATTGTATTTTTGTTTGACAAACTTAATGTACACATACATACAAAATAACATTTATTTTTTTTATTTTTGATTACAGCTTGATTCCACACCGTATTTTTGGTACAAGTATGGAATTTTCAGCATGGATATCGGTAGCCCAAATTTCGCAGGCCGACCAAAGATATCAGGTGTGCGTCGGCGTGGACTCGAACCCCGGACCATGTGCATGGTCGGCGACAGTCCTAACCACTGTGCCACCGACGCACATATATATTAATATATATATATATATATATATATATATATATATTTGCGATTGTACAGCTAAGAAAATGAATTCGTCGAAAAGAGACTCTTTGCTGATCTACGTGTTTTGTTTTGATTAATGCCTGGATGGGGATTATCCATGAATTTATAATGATTACCTAGAGGAAAAGAGTATTAGTACTGAATAGCAAAGCAATTTTCCTAAGAATCTGTTCAATAGAGAAAACTAAATGTAGCAGCGAAAATTTCAGCCACCATCCGAAATATCGAGGCTACTCCTTCAACACCATTGCATTTTCAATGGTTGAAAGAGTATTCAGTTCGAGGATGAAGAAAGTGTGTATGCTGGGTTCCAACCATATAAATAAATGCTGTTCAAATCTAACTGACCGTAAAATCACTTACTACAGTAAAGTAATTAACACATTCAGTCTTCTCAGTACCTCCCTGTAGAGTGGGGGTTGATGTAATCCAGTTTTTCAGCATCATTTTACACTTGATAGGCAGTGAACTGTATGCTAACCATACTCAGAATGCAATCAGGACTCTGATCTAGAATTGTTTCGGAAAAAGCCAGTAAGTAAGCTAACAAAAACAATTCAAAGATTGATTTACATTTCTCTTATTTCCTCCTTAATCAGCCTTTAGTCATACTATAATACTGACTCATCTCTCATTACGTTTAATAATATCAGTCATCATCTATTCAGGTTGTCGCCTAATTACTCATTCTTTTAAGCTGATTGACTGATTAATACTATTTTTGAATTGTTTTTCTTGTCTACATGAATAGACTTTGATTTCAGTTTTTTAATTCACTGTTTTTCAACTTAATGTTTTCCAGGATGGACAAGGTGTAATAAATTATTGTTTTCATTCGTTTCTTGAATTTCAAGCGGAACTTAAGGCCTCAGAGGAATATCCTCATAGAACTATGTTGTCTGTCAAGATTTTCATAATTATGTAAAAGCTTTCATTCCCCTTCCATATGGTCACCTGCATGTCACTCTTGGACGTCCACTCGGCTACTTCCTGTTAGGCTTCTACTCGACGGCACAGTGTGTGGTGTCATAAAATTCCCTCCTCTCCCGGTGTATGTTCAGTGCATATCCTTTCCCTTCGAATAATGTGTTTTTGGGCAGATTTACTGCACTACCAGATTTCCTTGTTGTTTATTTTTTCTGACTATCTGATCTTCAATAGTGAATAGAGTCAGGGGTACAGTTAAACTATAGGCACCACTAACGACCAATCAGCGAATGACCTTGAACGAACCAATCATGTGAAAGAATCTTTTTGGTTATTGAAAACATATATTTATGAAAAAGATGCATAAAAACTGAACAAAACTGTTACATAGGGTACCTCTCTCTGACATGTGATAAAAACATCTGCCACTTTAGCGTGAGAGTAACAATTGAAAAGTTACACCACATTCTGTACATATATTCGTGTAAATGACTATAAATGATATCCTTTTGAGATCTATTTATATCCCTAATCCTGTTTTATAGCCTTCCCCAAAAGCCTTCTATAGAACTGGTATGTCCCTGTAATAGGATCCAAAAAATCATCACAATGGTTCACTTTGTGGTGAATATTTCCAAGGGATGACAGGCAGTAATAGCCTTTCCATTCATCGATGTGTATTATAGATCTCTGTTTCACAAGTTAAGTGATGATAGGTACCTTCTGCTCCTAATATGGAAGTAAGCCTCTCCATTTTTCTAGATGCGATATCCCTGTAGTGCTAGTACCAATGAACTGTTGATACAAGACTATTTTCAGTTTCAGCAGCTGAACCTCTCACAGGCTGGTTCAAAACCCAGTAATTACAAATGTACAAAATCCGCTTTGACGACAGACGGGGCCTAGCAAAAAATGTCCCTATGGAACATTCAAATCATCAGCTTACCTTCCCTGACACTAACTCATCGCAAACCAATTGCACAATGATGAAAATAACCATCAATCGACCTGCTGAGGCTTTTTATGCTCATGACACCTTCACATGAACAAATCCTTTCCTTCCTAAGCAATCCCACTTTCAAGCAATACTGGAAAACCTTATCCTCACCAAACCGTAAGCGCTACAGCGTTACAGCAACCATTCGACTCGAATCAAGCGAAATAGGAACTTCCAATCACGTGGATGAAACTCACTGGATCATTCAAGGTCATCCGCTGAATGGTAGTTAGTGGTGTACTTAAAGTTTAACTTATCCGAGTTTAATAGTTATGCTAGTCTGAAGTAGGCTGTTGAAAATGCTTTTACAAACGTGTACACCAAGTTTCTGAAACACATAGTAGCACTGACTGACTTGAGATTAGTATTTTAATTAATCTAGCTATTACTAATTTTATTTTCTTCCACTTTTAATTACATATTTCATAATAGATAGTCTGACAATTTTTTCATAAAGAATAATAATAATAGTAATTATAGTATGATTTATTGGCATTGTGATGGTTTTCTACTGCTGCCATTCAATGTCACTAAACTGCTATCACATGATGAGCTAATTTAAATGATTTGTATTTTATTGATTTATTAAATACATATACAAGCAGTCATACACATATATAGGCGAAAAAATCGATAGGTTATCTGTATAACATTTACCTTAATTAATTAATTAGTTTAACCACGATACATTGACTCTACTTCTTTTTTTTTACATAAAATTATATCTTAGTATCATAAATATTAATAGTAATTATAGAAATAATAATACATAAAAATGTCTATTCTTAAAATTACTGGAAGACAAATATTAGATAGTCGTGGTTATCCAACGGTAGAAGTGGATGTAATTACAAATAAAGGTAAATTTATGATGAATATAAAAATATGACCATTATATTATAATTTTCTATAATAATTTGTCTCAAGTATTGGTTTTGTAGGGATTTTGTTTGATTGTATGGAGGATTTCACCATCAGCTGACATCAGTTGGAGAACCACTGGAAAACCTGGTAGTACTGGACAGCTGTTTCGTCCAAGTTTGGGACTCCTCAGCAGTACACACCCACCACGGGGTTCGAACCCAGGACCTTCTGGTTAGAAGGCAGGCGACCTCGTAGACCACTGAGTCACTGGGACCCGATCCAATGGTTTTTGAATTCTAACTTCTACCAGTTCACGACATAGCGTGACCCTATTCAGGTAGTTAACCTGGGGTTATAGTGGGAAGCCGTGACCAGTAGGGTACAGCAGGTCGAAGATGAGGCAGTAACTCATCGAAGAAGACACTGAGAAATGCTCGCGCTCTGTCGTGAACTGGCAGAAGTTAGAATTCAAGAACCATTGGATCGGATCCCAGTGGCTCAATGGTCTACGAGGTCGCCTGCCTTGTAACCAGAAGGTCCTGGGTTCGAACCCCGTGGTGCGGGTGAGTACTGTGAAGAATCCCAAACTAGGACGAAACAACTGTTCAGTACTCCCAGGTTTTCCAGTGGTTCTCCAACTAATGTCAGCTGATGGTGAAATCCTCCATACAATAATTTTTTTAGTTTTGAATTTATGCGAGGAGTTTAAAAAAATAAGAAAGCCTAGTTCACTAGATGTGACTGGAGCTCAAAATGGGGTCATATTGGAGCATAATTACAAAATGCCCTAGAATAACATGGTGAAGCTATATATCAATAAATGTAGTAAATACTATTTGAATTTCATCGTTATTTTTTAAATCTGATTTTCGCTCATAACAACAAAGCTGTCTCTTAAAAGTAATCACTTTCACATAAATTTTACAGATGATGCTGTTTACTTCTAATTGATTGAGATAAATAGTTATGCTAACCAGATCTCAGGGATCTAAACACCGTACACGTGTTGATATCATCAACAATTTGCTCAGTCTGATTTAGACTGAGACAGCTGAACCCGTTCAAACAAAGATGCTTTACTGAGTTCGGCCTGAAATAAGCGAATCCACTGTCCAGTGTTTAGATCCCTTTCATCTGGTTACCAAGCTCTATTGGTTCATATGAGTACTATCCAACTACTTATATCAACCAATCAGTAGTATATATAACATCATTCAATCATGCTTGATTTCTTGATCACGTGCTGTGGTCGGAAAATTTAGATTTCAAAAGGAAACTGTGGTGAAATTTCATCTCGAACTGTGTAATTTTCAAATGGTGAATTCAAGTGCAATTTTCGAATTGGGATCACATGAATAGATTGCATATTCAAAGGGATGAGATGATATTCTAAATTGTAATTTTATGACATTTAATGTGATTTCTACAGTTTATCCCTTTTTTCTAAACTAAGCCCAATTCTTCTTCTTTACTCCTTTCGTTCCAAGTGGAACAAAGGGCTTTATGCTCTGTAGGTTGCAGTATCAGTGGTGTCGTTCTTTTGAAGTGGGTTTACTAGACTCATACCCAACCTTTCCCACCTCTTTTTCTAGGCTTACTAACAACCAGTGAACTAGCCATCGGATAGGAATTGAATCTTGACCTCACACGTTGCTGGTGATAATTTTATTGTTGGGCCTTGTGATGTGGATAAATCAAAGATAGCTAAGTAGTGTACTGAAATGTTTTATGAAGTCAACCATAGGCAAAGTATGATATCAGTTTACAGGTTTCCAGACCGTAGGTGTTACGAACTTCCTGGAGTAATTTGAGCGCCGAGTCAGATTGATTCATTATAAATTATTTAAACTAATCCCAGCGTGTTAAGAAAATCGAAACAAGATTTTTCTGAAAGTTTCGCTGTGTAGGCCACAGCTTCTTCAGTAGATTTATTTGACATTAGTCATTACAAATATATGTGAGGACTGCTTACATACTTCTATTGGTAAAAATGTCCATGGACAAATGACCTTCAAATAAACTGACTTCAATTAATGTAAAAAATTTTGACCACATATTTTGATGATTTATAAAAATTCGAATGAATCTACTGAAGAAGCTGTGACTTACACAGCGAAACGCTCGGAAAAATCTAGTTTTGATTTTCTTAACACGCTGGTTACAAGGCGGGCTAGTTCGTAGGCCATTGAGTGACTGGGAACCGATCCAATGGCCAGCCCATGAATTCTAACTTCTACCTATTCACGACATAGCGCGACCACTTTACAATGTCTTCTTTGATTCGTTACTGCCTCATCTTCAACTTGTTGTACCCTAATGGTCACGGCTTCCCACTAAAACCTCAGGTCACTACCTGAATAGGGCCAGTCGCTAGTTAGCATCAGATTCTCTAACTGATGTCAGCTCATTATGATAGACATCCATCCAATCAAACAAGATCTCTACAAAACCAATACTTGAAAATTAGATATTTCTCAGATTAAAAAAGCCTTCAGGAAAAAGTGTGTTTAAAAAACTCTATACTTGATGAATACCATCATACGCTTGTATTATTGACAAAAAATTATTTTTAATGTATGAACAGTCATTGTTATGATATTTAGAGATAAAGACAGAGATAGAGAGAGAGAGAGAAAATACGTGAACTGACTGACCAAACTTCTTCATGATTCCGTGCAATGGCCTCTCACATTTAAAAGGCATAATCATTAGTAGAATAATTGTAAGTTTAATAAAGATTAGCAAATATTAATCAAGATATAATGAGGGTATAATGAAGTTTAATAATAATAATAATAATAAGATAGACTGCTCAAGGAATAGATTTAACATAATTAGTAAAAGACAATGAAAGAAAGAATAACTGAACAAATGTTCTCTGTGTATAAGGCTCTGGCTTCTCTATCTCGGACATCAGAGATTCAATAATACAGACGACGCGGAAGAGTTATTATTTTGTCCCGTTATTTTTCTTGTTATAGGTAAGTTTAATGGGAGAGGTTGTGGAGAGAAAAACACGTAAATATTAGATGTTTGTAGGCACTTGGCGGGAAGCCTTGCTTCATCTAAGTTTTGTGCTAGATGGTACTCACCGGTCACCAAATCGTATCTGCAACCTTGAAGGAACTCATAGCACTTCTGAGATTCGAACCCGCCTCACTCAGTGCCACTTGCGGTCAGAGATATTACCAGCATTGAGCTATTCGGGCTCGCGATTGACCTCCTGTAGGAGTGTGGTGGATATTTTTGATTTAAAACTAATCAGTAACTAGGGTAATGTGTCTAGTCCCATCTTTTTTGGTGCAGACTGAATTCTATCAGTCAGGTTTACAATGTGGCCACCATTCTAGTTGATCCGCCATCATCGTGCGCTGTGAATTGTTGGTATTGGATGGTTGGAGGCTATCGACAGGAAGCCTTGCTTGATCTGGGTTTCATACTAGTTGTCTCCAGCCATCTGTCATCAACAATTCAAAGTGCTCCGTGCTTCCATACTGGTGTAAGGTTGATAAAGTCGTTGTTGCCTCTCCGATTCAGTCCGGCTTTCACATCTTCATCCATCCCAACTGTCTGTGGCCAGATAAATAAAGGAAGTAATCTGTGTCAAACTTCTCTCATTGATGGTGATCGGTACCGGATGTTGTTGCTGTTAGTTGGTTATCTTCGTCACCTCCGTCCGCCTTCTCTGTGTTCACCTGGAGTTCTGTCTTCGTTGGCTGCTTCTTCAGCCAGTTTGTTGCTTTTCGCCTGCAAGTTTTTGTGTCATGAGACACAAATCATCCACGAAATTGAGATCTTCTAGAATTTTCTCATCGGTCCGGCGCATTCCTGGCTTCTGAATGTTGCACACTTCACAGGATCATTATAGATGTACTGATAGATGTGACCAAGACTGGCTTTAGCGACTTAAGGACTGACCTATTACGGGGATAGAGTCGCACCGATATAGAGTATGCAGTTGATACATAATTTTCTAGCTAAAGATACTGACAAAATTTGAAGTTTTTTGAACACACTCAGTATGTTTGGTGTACTCATCAAGTGTAAGATGAGGCTGCAGTACCCTTGGGTACCGACTATTTATCTTACGATAGATAGTGAAATGACTGAGCTTGTTGATCATTACACTTTTCTGTGAAGTTGCGTTAACCAGTATGGCTTCAATGCTGACCAATGAATAAGGCTGCTTTCACATTTCCCTACTTGAGTCATTTTTGTAGCAGGTGTCATATCCGCTTGTCTATCAAAGTGTGTGTATGTGTGTGCGTGTTCTACACAGCAGCTCTTTTCATTCCACTTTAGAAATATGAAATATGACTGTTTTTGAGCCGAGAAATCTTAAAAGATTAGCAGTTTTTCACTCCATTTGGACTGTTGTGTTAAGTGGAGTGATATGGTCAATATTAATAAGGTTAGGCGCGGAGTCTTGTCTAATGAGGAGAGGGGATAATTCAAACAATTAGGTGAGATGAGCTCTCTACAACATTTGTTATTCATGTCATGCAATTGCTTTCCTTAGGAAGCCAATTTACTCGAAATTAGAAGAAGAATCTATAGTGGAACCTCACTAATTCATTACTAAATTCTTAATTCCATTATACATTTACTCTGTGTATCTGTATATGTTGCTTCCTTGAGGTGTTTTCACTTGCACTGAATCACTATACCACTAAGTCTTACGTTAATCATCTCTGCCTTGGCATCTCTTGTTGACGATCTGCTGCTAAACTGTTTAAAGGCACAAATATAAAATGACTGAACTAGATTTTGGCCATATTTGATATAAAATACATAGATAACCAAGTATTGGTTTGTAGAGATTTGGCTGATTGGTTACAGGATTTCATCATGAGCTGACATTGATTAGAGAACCATTGGAAAACTTGGGAGTACTGGACAGCTGTTTCGTCAGACTAGTTTGGGACTTTTCACAGTACGCACCCACCGGGGTTCGAACTCTGGACCTTCTGGTTACAGGGCTAGCGGACTCGTAGAC